CAATAATTTACACGCGGTCGGCCGTTGTTTGCCGCAATCTCTCCCCGTGTAACAATAGCGCAGAACCGGCCGCGAGAAAATCCAAGTACGTCTCCTTTTCGTTCCGCGTTGCCTGCGCGCCGACGCGACGCGTCGAGACGCGTCGCGACGACCCGAGAAACGCTCGCTGAACATCTCCCGATGCATCCGCGGGCGCCTCGTCTCGCGGCAACAGACCTTCCACACCCCCGCGCAGGAAGGTAAGGCGATTTTCACGTGACTCAACTTCGATTTGAAATAATAGCGACGGGAATCGGTGGCCGGATGCTGCGAGTGCGCTGCTATTTTATGCGTTCGCTGCGCTCGAGAACATCGCGCATCTTGTGTCTCGAACACGTGTTTTCTTTCTCGTTCCTCGCTGGCTTTCGCATTATACAGGGTGCCCCAAAATTATGGTATTTCTGGGAAACTGGAGATTCCTGAAGTCATTCGAAGCAACTTTTTCCTTTACAAAAATTTCCTCCGAGGCATGGTTTACGAGTTATTAACGAAAAACACTGACCAATGAGAGGCGAGCTCGGCTGGCGCGCGGCGGCCAAGCCAACGAGCGCGCGAAGCCCAGTTCCGCTAGCTCGCCTCTCATTGGTCAGTCGTTTTCGTTAATAACTCGTTAACGATGCCTCGGAGGACATTTTTGTAAAGGAAAAAGTTGCTTCAAATGATCTCAAGAATCTACCATTTCGCGGAAAGACCATAATTTTGGGACGCTCTGTATTCGTATCCGTACGAAATTCAAAACAAATAACGAAATGGAACACTTTTGAGAAAATCTTCTTTGTTGAAATGCGACTCTGGCAATGGACAGTACTATTATAAACGAGGTTATGCCAGAAACAAATGTATAGCGAAAACAGAGAGACAAACGTTCTCATGTAATGAAAATCCAACATTTTACATGCGCTAACGTAATAGATTTTATTCGTTGAGCGTTTCTTCGGTACTGATGCTTCGCGTTGTGGTGTTCCGCCATGACTAGACTTACATATTTATGGGAAGCTTTATTTTCGCAACTTTTGGTTATCGGGAACGTCTGTTTCAATTTTATCACTTCGCTATAAGAAACTTTGGAATATTAATGTACTGAATTAATACAATCTTGAAATTTCATCCCAACCGTCTGTTATCCAGAAATAAATCTTAGCCGGAATAGAAAGAAGATTGTTATAATTAATCTGCCTTGCTAAAGTTATGAATCGAAAAGGAAACTGGGGTAAATTTTTGATGAACCAAGCACCGGTTTGTTAATAGAAATTTAAATTATAATAGATTTTTGTAGGAATTCAAATCGTAATTGATTTTTAATAGAAATTGTAGCTTAACTAACGGTTACAGTAAATTTTCCCTAATTGTCGCTCAGTCGCTCCCGTTAATATTCGAACATCATTTAAAACGCAATAACTTTTCTAGAACTGAACTGAACGACTTGGATTGTTTTCAGATGGTAGAAGTTATCTTTTTTTTAAATTTTGCTATTGCTTATGATGACAAATGAAAATGAAAAACTCATATTTGTTAACTTTCCTCTCTGAGTCTATAACGAGAATTTAATCTCGATGCATGTTGAAAATTTCATCGAAATTGATTAATCTTGGTACGAGCTGTAAACAATTAAAAATCGCGAAGAGAACGGTTTTGTTCCGATTTTTGATACTTTCGAGCAATAAGTGCGAGAAATCTGAATTTTGTACAATCTTTTAACGCTTGTGACTTGACTTTACGTTAATCGATTTCGATAAAATTTTCAGCATGCGCATATATAATAATTTACCGAGATCTGCAAAACGCATTCATTAAACCTTCGTTACAGGCCCACATAAAACACTTAAAAAACAAGACTTTCTTATTTCGTTTTGTCACACCAAGCAATAGTAAAATTGCAATAAAGTAGTTTAGTCATTGTCTAGTATATTATCCACTCCATCATATCCAAAGAAATATTCGAATCGTTTAGTCCCGCTTTTGTAAAAGTTGTCGCGTTTCGAAAAGCACGAGAATATTAATGGGAGCCGCTGTACATAAACAAATAAACCCGAAGTGACAGCGTATCCCAGAGCGATTTTATGAATACCCATCAGCATTCTACAAAAATTGAAATTAACCGACTGTTAGATAGACGATGATATTGTGGTTCGCGCATGAGAGAGCGGGTCGACGGGTTCACGTAAAAATCAACACGATCCGCGGTCTTTGTTTACGAGAAAATAATGCTCGACAAACACGGACTGTTTATCGTCGCGGCTTTTCAATGTCGCCGCGGCCTGAGGCCCCGCGGGCTGCGAAGTTTTTCGGCGTTCCGATTGACAAACGCGGCCGGATAGTTTCCTTTATGAGAGCGCCGATACACGCAAACGCAAACGAAACAAACGCGGCACGATTTATTCGAACTCTTTCTTTCTATTTTACTTCTTTCGCAAACACTTTTGCTCGTCGGGTACATAGCCGGCGTGCAAATAACGCCGTTTCCGGTAAACGAGATCGACCGCTAAAGAACCCATTCGTTCGCGGAATCTCTCCCTTTTTCCGCGACCCTCCCCGTCCCTCGTCTCCCCGCCGTCCCCCCTCTGTCCCCCGCGAATCGATATAATTCCAGAGCCCGGGTCGAATCGCGTCCCGACGATATTATGCATTTATAACGAGCCTCCGCGGTTTTTTAATTATTTCTTCAGTCGCGCCGCTGGAATTTTCATCGCGGAAGATTGGAGAGCCGGAGCCATAGATCAGTCGGAAATTCATTTCCCAACTTTGTACCGTTTAATCGGAAGACGCTTTTAAATACTTGATGCGCTCCCATCTACGCGGGGAAAACCCGCGGAAAGCGCGACGAGCTTTCTCCTTTCCTCGCGACCGTTTCGAAATAAATTCGTATGAATAGAAACGAGGACGGCCGTCCGTTCGAATCGTTTACGAATCGCTTCAGTCTTTCACTTATATTCCTCTTCGAAGTAGCAAGCGGTCGCAGCAAATGTATTTTCAGCCAATTAAATTTCGTCGCAGTTCATTCTTCAATCTTCGGAAATTGCAATCTTCGCTGCTTGACGCTGTCCAAAAATTACCGTCGTATCAGCAATTTATCACGAAGCATCAAACTTCAATTGCGTTGGCAAACAATATTCAATATTTCATGGGTTGTTCTACAATGACGAACGGTAATTCGGCATGAATTTCACGACGATCCGCTATTCCGAATCTTTTCTGACACTATCATAATTAAACACAAATTTTATAATAATAATAATACTACTTTATTGATGGATGTGATATGAAATACTAGAACTTGATACTGAAAACATAACCGTTGAACAACTCCTTTTTATTTTTCGGTATTGATAACTTTGTGAGGTTGCATTGTAATATACGGGGTGTCCTAAAATTATGGTATTTCCGGGAAATGTGGGGTTCCTGAGATCATTTGAAGTAACTTTTTCCTTTACAAAAATGTTCTCCGAAGCATCGTTAACGAGTTATTAACGAAAAACACTGACCAATGAAAAGCGAGCTCGGCTAGCGCGAGACAGCTGAGCCAACGAGCGCACGAAGCTCAGTGCTGTGCATTGGCTCGCCCGCCACGCGCCAGCTGATCTCGCTCCCCATTGGTCACTGTTCTTCGTTAATAACTCATAAACGAAGCTGAGGATCGCATTTTCGCTAAGGTTATGTCAAAAGTCGTCAAAGTCGAAATTTGTCATTAAGGTCACATGAAGGTCACAATATTATAGTTCGTTGGTTTCGTCTTGACCTCGGCTATCATATAGCGATAATAGAAATATATTGTTCCGTTTAAAAAATCATCCATGACCTTGAAATCTCACAAAATATGACCTTGAACAAATCGTTTTGCCTATCACAATATTTGCTGCTAAAAACCAACCAATGTTTCCCTCTGACATTTGGTTCTATTATAAATAACAAGCGAGATATTATAGATGCTCGAGTTAGGTGAGACGCACACACACACGCACCCACAAACCCTGTGTAATATAATACATATTATATGTATTATTATCGTTATATAGTACTTGTTATTGGTATATGTTATTATTGAATGTTATTATTATTGTTGGTGGTTATAATACATAACCTCAATGTCTCGATACATGTTCCAACGTTTACGGACTAATTAAAAATTTTTCGGGGTTGCTGGTGACTCCGACGGTCGTTCTAGAATTAAATATAAAACTGAACAAATATCAGGTCAAATCCTAAATAATTTCCAATACAGCTAGATACAATCAATCGTTCGTATCTGTCCACTACGGGTCACCGGGACAAACAAATATTTGCTTTCGCTAAACAGATACGGGTTCGCAGTAAGTAAAATAAAGCCGAGAAAATAAGTAAAAGAGAAACCAAAATAAATGTCTGACAAAGAAGCGTAAATTATCAATGACTATATACCTAATAAAAGTACCTAATAAATATGAGTGTATACCTAATAAATTAGTAAGCTTGAAGAATGCTCGCAGAAAGCGTAGGAATTACAAAAGAAATCCACTAAATCCCAGCATTTCTGTGCAAGCATAAGTAAACTTTTAGCTAACAGGTTAAAAAAGGAAGTTCGGAATTCCGAAAATATGCTCGATGCATAAAAGCGGAAATGCTTCGACGCGCGAAACCCGAAGAAATTCGGCAGCTCGCACGATTTAAATCCCAGGAAGCCCCTCGGATCCGAGGAAACAGGCTTCGACGGTCCAGCGGGGGTTGCCGGCTGAGGGCGCCGACAAGTGTAAACAGAATCAGAAACATCCCTTTCGGCGTCCACCCCCTCCCCTGGTCGGGGCTCGGCCCAATAATCGGCCGATCATACACCTTACAACTTTTCCACCCATTTTTCCGCGGCCGTCGATCGGGCTGGTGGGGGTCGCCGGTCCGCCGGAGGGGTTGTGGACGCCGGAGGGGGCTGCGGGGCTCGGTAGCACGGCAGCACCAGCAGCACCAGCCACCCGGCAGTTGTTCGGGGCTGTTTCGGCGCGTCAGTGCGCCGGGAGCGCTTCACGAGGTTGGACGCGCGTGCTCACGTACGTCTCGACGTCGTTTCCTCGTTTCCTCGCACGTGACGCGTTTTCCACTCGCGCGAGAGACATCGGGCCGCCCCTCTCGGAACGATTCCGCACACCCCCGCGGAATCACGGTTCGTCGCAGTGTACGTGACTCCGACCGAGGAAAGGGAAGAGAAAACCGTTGTCGCGCGAACCGGCCGACCTCTCGAGCCGAGCCGAGCCGAGGCTGCCTGCAGCCACGTTCCACAGAGTCCTGGGGCGAGCAGAAAGGACCGCTTTCACGGTGAGTGGACCTTCGTCCTGGATGTCGCGCTTCCGAACGGGTGGAGACACGTGACGGACGCCGCGCGTGCTCCAGCCTCGATCTCTGTAATTGGCCGGGCGTTTTTCCTTGGTCGCCACGGTTTCGCGATTTTACGAACGATCGCGTGGTCAGGGCTTCGGAATTTTCGTGTTATCTTCGCCTGGCAGGATACTTGTTCGGAAGATTTTGTTCGGGTGGCACAGGCAATTGTGCTGTAGTTCGCATTTCGACGAGGTAGATTTGTTTTCTGGATTTTCCGCGTGGTTTTTGGTTTCGTTTCGAGTTACCGGGCTTGTCGTTTTGATAATCGAGGGTATTTTACTGGGGTGGTATCGGATTTCTGGGTGTTTAGAAAAGCGTGTAGTTATTGTTGAGTCATTCTGCCGAATTTGTTTGGACGATTTTGATATTTCAGTTGGAAGGGTTGACGTTTAAATATTATGGTTATTTTATATTTTGTCGGGGTGGTTTCGGATTTGAGGGTATTTAGAATATCGTATAGTAATTGTTGATTCATTCTGCCAAATTTGGGTTGAAAGGGTTGTTGCTTAAATATTCGAGTCCATTTTGTCGGGGTGGTGTCGGATTTCAGGGTGTTTAGGAAATAGTGTAGTTATTGTTGATTCATTCTGCCGAATTTGTTTGGACGATTTTAATATTTCGGTTGAAGGGGTTGTCGTTTAAATATTACAGTATATTTTGTCGGGGTGGTGTCAGGGTTGTGTCGGTTTTGAGGGTATTTAGAAAATCGTACAGTTATTGTTGATTCATTCTGCCAAATATGTTTGGACGATTATGATCTTTGGGTTGAAAAGGTTGTTGCTTAAATATTCGACTGCATTTTGTCGGAGTGGTATCTGATTTGAGAGTATTTAGAAATTGTGTAGTAATTGTTGTTTCACTCTGCCGAATTTGTTTGGACAATTTTGATATGTACATTGGAAAAGGGTTAACGTTTTAGTATTACAGTATATTTTGTCGAGGTAGAGTCGGATTTGAAGCTATTTAGAAAATCGTATACTAATTGTTGATTCATTCTGCCAAATATGTTTGGACGATTTTGATATTTAGGTTGGAAGGGTTGACGTTTTAATATTACAGTATATATTATCTGTCTCTTATACACATCTAGATGTGTATAAGAGACAGATAATATATACTGTAATATTAAAACGTCAACCCTTCCAACCTAAATATCAAAATCGTCCAAACAAATTCAGCAGAATGAATCAACAATTACTATACCTGTCTCTTATACACATCTAGATGTGTATAAGAGACAGATAATATATACTGTAATATTAAAACGTCAACCCTTCCAACCTAAATATCAAAATCGTCCAAACAAATTCAGCAGAATGAATCAACAATTACTATACCTGTCTCTTATACACATCTAGATGTGTATAAGAGACAGATAATATATACTGTAATATTAAAACGTCAACCCTTCCAACCTAAATATCAAAATCGTCCAAACAAATTCAGCAGAATGAATCAACAATTACTATACCTGTCTCTTATACACATCTAGATGTGTATAAGAGACAGATAATATATACTGTAATATTAAAACGTCAACCCTTCCAACCTAAATATCAAAATCGTCCAAACAAATTCAGCAGAATGAATCAACAATTACTATACCTGTCTCTTATACACATCTAGATGTGTATAAGAGACAGATAATATATACTGTAATATTAAAACGTCAACCCTTCCAACCTAAATATCAAAATCGTCCAAACAAATTCAGCAGAATGAATCAACAATTACTATACCTGTCTCTTATACACATCTAGATGTGTATAAGAGACAGATAATATATACTGTAATATTAAAACGTCAACCCTTCCAACCTAAATATCAAAATCGTCCAAACAAATTCAGCAGAATGAATCAACAATTACTATACCTGTCTCTTATACACATCTAGATGTGTATAAGAGACAGATAATATATACTGTAATATTAAAACGTCAACCCTTCCAACCTAAATATCAAAATCGTCCAAACAAATTCAGCAGAATGAATCAACAATTACTATACCTGTCTCTTATACACATCTAGATGTGTATAAGAGACAGATAATATATACTGTAATATTAAAACGTCAACCCTTCCAACCTAAATATCAAAATCGTCCAAACAAATTCAGCAGAATGAATCAACAATTACTATACCTGTCTCTTATACACATCTAGATGTGTATAAGAGACAGATAATATATACTGTAATATTAAAACGTCAACCCTTCCAACCTAAATATCAAAATCGTCCAAACAAATTCAGCAGAATGAATCAACAATTACTATACCTGTCTCTTATACACATCTAGATGTGTATAAGAGACAGATAATATATACTGTAATATTAAAACGTCAACCCTTCCAACCTAAATATCAAAATCGTCCAAACAAATTCAGCAGAATGAATCAACAATTACTATACCTGTCTCTTATACACATCTAGATGTGTATAAGAGACAGATAATATATACTGTAATATTAAAACGTCAACCCTTCCAACCTAAATATCAAAATCGTCCAAACAAATTCAGCAGAATGAATCAACAATTACTATACCTGTCTCTTATACACATCTAGATGTGTATAAGAGACAGGTATAGTAATTGTTGATTCATTCTGCTGAATTTGTTTGGACGATTTTGATATTTGGGTTGAAAGGGTTGTTGCTTAAATATTCGAGTGTATTTTGTCGGGGTAGTATCTGATTTGAGAGTATTTAAGAAATCGTGTAGTAATTGTTGATTCATTCTGCCGAATTTGTTTGAACGATTTTGATATTTGAGTTGAAAGGGTTGTCGTTTAAATATTATTATTGTTGATTCATTCTGCCAAATTTGTTTGGATGATTATGATCTTTAGGTTGAAAGGGTTGTTGCTTAAATATTCGAGTGCATTTTGTCGGGGTGGTATCGAATTTCGCGGTGTTCAGAAAGTAATGTAGCATTTGTTGATTAATTCTTCCGAATTGTTTGGAAAATTTTTAACTTTTAGTTTAGAAGGGTTGTTGTTTTAATATTGGAGTGGATTTTGTTAAGGTGGTTTTGCATTAGAAGTTGTTTAGAAGATAATATAATAATTGTTGATTGATTCTTCCGATTTATTTTGGTGTATTTTGATCATTGGGTTGGAAGGGTTGTCGTATAAATATTCAGGTGAATTCCAAGGTATTTAGAAAATAGATTCGTAATCGTTGATTAACTCTTCCGAATCTTTTTGGACGATTTTGATCTTTGGATCGGAAGGGTAGTCGCAAAAGTATTGGGGTGAATTTTGTCGAGGTGGCATCGGATTTCAAGTTGTTTAAAAAATAATATAGTAATGTTGATTAATTCTTCCAAATCTTTTTGGACGATTTTGATCTTTGGATCGGAAGGGTAGTCGCTAAAATATTGGGATAAATTTTGTCAGAGTGGTATCGAATTCCAAGGTGTTTCGAAAATAGTTTCGTAATTATTGATGAATTCTTCCGAATCTTTTTTTGGACGATTTTGATCTTTGAAAGGTTTATTATTTAAATGTTGCAGTGAACTTTGTCAGGGGACAGTATCGAATTCTAAGGCGTTTAGAAAATAGTTCAGTAATTGTGTATTAATATTTCCGAATCTTTTTGGACGATTTTGATCGAAAGGGTTTGTCGCTTAAAGATGACATTGAATTTCATCGGAACGGTATCGAATTCCAAGGTGTTATGAAAATAATCTAGCAATCGTTGATCCGCTTTCCCGAATTTTCTGAAGGGCCGTCGTAGGTGAAACATTATGGTGTTGGGTTGATTTAGTAGGATTGTTGTTTGGCGGGTCGAGTGGGTTTTGCGGAGGTGTAAGAGGTTTAAGGGATGCTCAGAATGTCTGATTTCGATTTTGTACGGCTGGAGGGAGCGTTTCGGAAATATCTGTGTAAAGGTCTGTGGAAACGGTCGGGAAGCTTTTGATGCGATGAGTAGCTTTGCTTTGCTTGGAGAATGATTTCGAAACGTTTAGGGCGAAATTGGTGGAAGTAGTTGGAAGAGAAACATTTTGAAAGGGATAGATGGAGAAAGAGAGACATTGAGAGAGAGAGAGAGAGAGAACTGAAAGATCAACCTCGAAGAATCTCTTAGAGATCAATTCCCTTTGTCGAGCGGTTTCTATCTGTTTGGTGGAAGATTTCGTAATAATTCAGAAAAGTAAGGTAAGAAACGTTCCGAGAAATTGATAACTGAAAGTGTGTACATATTCGGAGTCGAGGTAGACCACGAAACACTTGGGATTCCAAGGAGAATTTTAGAAAGCATTTTCTTCCGTTGAGTACATTTTATGGGACTGCAGGAGAATTTATGGCAGAGGGCTAGAAATATTCAGGAAGTGGGCTACCGAAACATTTGCTGGGAGACAGGCAGAAATATTTATAGATGAAAGTAGCTGTCAACAAAACTGTAATGCCGCGCTTATACGTTTTCGTTCCATTCGTCTTTATTCGTCTTTATCTATCTTTATTTTACGAGTAACGTGGCTCGGTTTAAAAGACTAATTATTCACCCATTACCTGTCAAATTTGTCTTCTTAAATTTTCGATAATAAAAGTTACGTACGAAAAGTTGTGTAGCAATATAATTATATTCAAATTGTGTTTCTTAAAATATTTTATATTTTTTAAAAAGTACCAATTGGCGATTGTGACAGGTTACACTAATAAAAGAAAAAAGAGAAAAGTTCTTTCTTATTGTATGAAAAACAAAAAACTGAGCAAGGAACACATAGTTACTATAATCTCTAAATTACGTATTTACGTGTATTTAATTATAATTAAACATAATATATTATATTATATATCTATAATATATATTACTTATAATTAAATATAATATGTATTTACGGTATTTAATTATAATATAAAAATCAAACCAAAAATATCACGCTTCAAATATGACAATTTTCTTGCGTTCAACTTACGGATGATTTCCGAATTTGT